TGGTTTCACACTTGTTAATAGAGAAACGGAGGCATATTAACATGAGTAGGAGCTTACTGGAGCAAAAATAGATTCAAATTGGGCAGCACGCACTCTGAAAGGTAGAAGGAGCTCCCAGGAGCCGTACAAAATGAAAGACTTCCCCAGGCAGAGGGAGTGGGATCCAGGAAGTTATACCAGGTAAAGAGGTGGGATGGTTACGGCAAAGTCATTTCCTTTGGGGGACGGCAGTGGTCTGTCTAGCAGGTGACCTCATTACCACTGATCACATGATCCCTGAGTGTGACTGGTTTAGGATTCCATTTCTGGGAGAGCTGAAATTGTCATGAACTCAGTTTGGTGACATAGCATCAGCATCAGCAACTGCACTTGGGGGCCGGTTGTCTTATTTTTAATACTCAACGTGGGAAGAGGATTGTCACTAATGGGTAGGGACAGACCACACATCTTTGACTCTTTTTAAGTCAGCTCTTTAATATATGTATGCAAAAGTGTGCCAATTATACACAAACAGCCTGACGAATTTTCAGAAAGTTGGCACACCTGTAAGCCAGCCCGCAGACCAAGAAACAGAATGCCACCAGTCGCTCAGAGGCACCTTCATCCTCTCCTTCCCCCTGGCTTTTATCTTCCCAGGCAGGCATCAGCAAATCCATCCCCGACTGTCTGTGTAAAAAAAGTTTTACGGGAATACAACCACACCCATTCACTTATATATCATCTACATCACCATGAAAGACATGGTGAGTAGTTGCCATCAAAGACCTATGGCCTGAGGAGCCTAAAATATTTACGATCTGGACCTAGAAAAAGTTCAAAGACCATTGTTCTACGGTGGCACTGTCCAGTAGAATATGTAATTTTAAGTTTTCCAGTAGCCAGATTAAAAAGTAAAAGTGGCCAGATCTCAGTTGACATTTCTCCAAAGAAGACATACAGGTGACTAATGGGCCCATGAAAAGATGATCAACATCACTAATTATTCAATTCAGTTCAGTTCAGTCACTCAGTCATGTCTGACTCTTCACAACCCCATGGACTGCAGCATGCCAGGCCTCCCTGTCCATCACCAACTCCCAGAGTTCACTCAAACTCAGGTCCATCGAGTCAGTGATGCCATCCAGCCATCTCATCCTCTGTCGTGCCCTTCTCCTCCTGTTCCCAATCCCTCCCAGCATCAGGGTCTTTTCCAATGAGTCAACTCTTCACATGAGGTGACCAAAGAATTGGAGTTTCAGCTTCAGCATCAGTCCTTCCAGTGAACACCCAGGACTGATCTCCTTTAGGGTGGGCTGGTTGGATCTCATATACAGCCTTGACATACTCCTTTTCCTATTTGGAACCAGTCTGTTGTTCCATGTCCAGTTCTAACTGTTGCTTCCTGACCTGCATATAGGCTTCTCAACAGGCAGGTCAGGTGGTCTGGTATTCCCATCTCTTTCACTAATTATTAGAGAAATGCAAATCAAAGCTATCAACCAATATAAGGAAGTATCACCTTACACTGGTCAGAATGGTCATCACCAAAAAGTCCACAGATAACAAAAGCTGCAGCACGTGTGGAGAAGGGAATCCTCCCGCACTGTTGGCAGGAATGTAAAAGGTGAGCCACTATGAAGTTTCCTTTTTTCTTTGTTTTTGGTCATGCCATGCAGTCTGTGGGATTTTAGCTCACTGAGGAGGGATCAAACCTGGGCCCTTAGCAGTGAGAGCATAGAGTCCTAAACGCTGGGCCACCAGGGAATTCCCTGGAGGTTCCTTTAAAAAGTAAAAATGGAGCTACTATATGATCCAGCAATCCCATTCCTGGGCATCTATCTGGAAAAGGTGAAAACTCTAAAAGACATATGCACCTCAGTGTTCAATACCAGCACCAGCACTACTCACAATAGCCAAGACATGGAAGCATCCTAAATGTCCATCAACAGATGAATGGATAAAGAAGATGTGGTAAATATGTACAATGGAATATTACTCAGCCACAAAAAGAATGAAATAATGCCATTTGTAACTACATGGATGAACCTAGAAATTACCATAATGAATGAAGAAATAAGCTGCTAAGTCACTTCAGTCGTGTCCAACTCTGTGCGACCCCATCCCTGGGCTTCTCCAGGCAAGAACACTGGAGTGGGTTGCCATTTCCCTCTCCAATGCATGAAAGTGAAAAGTGAACGTGAAGTTGCTCAGTCATGTCCGACTCTTTGAGACCCCATGGACTGCAGCCTGCCAGGTTCCTCCGTCCATGGGATCTTCCAGGCAAGAGTACTGGAGTGGGGTGCCATTGCCTTCTCCGAAGAAATAAGCTAGAGAAAGACAAATATTATATGATACTATATATATGCAGAGTCTAAAAAATGATACAAACAAACTTATTTACAAAATAGAAACAGACTCACAGATGGAAAACAAATTTAGGATTACCAAAGTGGAAGAGGAAGTATAAATTAGGAGTCTGGGAGTAACAGAGACACACTACTACATATAAACTAGATAAACCACAAGGATTTACTGTATACTGTAGTCAATATCTTGTGATAACATAATGGAAAAGAATCTGAAAAAATACATATGTATAAGTGAATCACTTGGCTTTACCCTTGAAAGAAACACAATATGGTGGATCAACTACAGTTTAATAAACAAAAAAGAAAAAAAGTAAAAAGAAATATGTAAAATTAATCTCCATTTATCCAACACATCTAAAATATTATCATTTTAGCCTATAGTCAATATGAACAACTGAGATATTTTCTCTCTCTTTCATACTGTTTCCAAGCCTGTGTGTGTTTCACAGATCAATTCACTGCAGCCACACTCAAGTGCTGGGCAGTCCTATACGGCCAGGGCCCTCTCCGCTGGACAGCACAGCTCTGGAACACCTTCTGCTCTTGGAACCAGAGCTCCAGGACTTATCCTACCCCACTCTCTGGCTCACCCCCCTACCAGCCGGGTTCCTCTCCTTCAACTAACTGCATGTGCCATTCTGTATAAGCTTCCCTCATTCTTGAAAATATGAATGGAAAACAAACATTCAAATATCCTACAACTCTTAGTTGTAACACATCCCTAGGGCAAAGAAAGGTGAGGAACTGCTTACAGTCTTTAGAGAAAGGGCAGAATGAGTTGGTGAGGAGAATCAGACTGCATCAGATCTTGTTGGGGGACTTGAGGCTAATAAACAAGCTAAAACAAACCAACACTAAAGGTGTCAGAAGAACAGAGGAAAAGAGAACCTGATGAGCATCCCTTCAGGTGTCTTTGGCAATTCAGCCATGTGATTATTCTACTGAGCCATGAAAGAATGTTGACTGCAGGACAAGACATGAATTTAATTTTGGTCTGCCTGATGTTCCAGAAGCAAACGAGCAAAAGAAAAACTAACTAGCTGCCAATATTTAGAAATTAAGACATAACACTTACCAATGAATTTCTGGCATCTTTGGAAAAATGACAAGGGCCAGGAACAAAGTTTGGATGACAACAGTTGGTGGGATGGACTGCAGGTGCCCCCCCACCCTGACCCCAGAAGGTGTGTGTGCTTTCTAACTGGCCACAGTCACCTTCTTCCAAGTCATCAAACAGCACTTATGCACCTGCTGACATGGCTCCCTGGCTTTTAGTTTGTACTTCTGCAGTATACATAACTTTGAGACATCAAGATAACTTTGAAATTATGACAGGGTAATGTTGAAAGCAATGCAGTTACATCTACTGGCAATGGGGAAATTTTTAGCCCGGGTAAAGACTATTATTTATCAGGTTTATAGTTTAGTGTGGTTTCAGTCTGGAGGGGCTTTGATCCTTTAGCTTATACTGGTAGAATAGTTGGTCCCAAATTCAGAGGCTGATGATTTTTCTTATCCATTAATTATCTGAACAGCTCCCAAGAGCACACAACTGTGATCACAAACTCTTTCCAATCACACTGGCCAAACTGGAAAAACAGTCCACCGACATCATTTCTAGAGTTATTGCCTCTTAACTTATTATGGCTTTGGAGTTGACACACTCAAGGGTTTAAATATGACAATCAGGAAATGAACAGTTTCGTCTTTGGCATCCCCACTTCAGCTGCTTGTGCCTTGAATTTTGTTCATTGACCTATGTCATGCTGTATTAAGTTACAAAGAGTTTATGAGCCATGGCATTGCATGTTTTATAGACCTATGAAATGTATTCTTTATAAAGTCAACATCTTTTATTTGAAAACATTTTGAGGACCAAAAGTTACTTGGTCAGAATAATTTTCTACTTCTAACAAGAAGTTCCTCTCAAAAGAAACTCAAAAAAAGTGACTCTATTCTTCCATGTGGCTTGCCATTTTGTTTTGGAACATGCCGGTAGCCTAAATCAGTCTTTATCTAGCCAGACAGTTTGCAAAGGAGCAGCCTCACTGCTCTGAGCCTCAGTTTCCCTGTATTTAGCATGGGGTAGAGACTGGAGTGGCCAATGTCAACATTACTTATTTGCACCAGAATCCCTTTCTTCAATTTGTTTTTTCTCTGGCTGCACCACACATGGCATATGGGACCTTAGCTCGACCAGGGATGGAACTCCCATCCCCTGCCCTGGAAGCACAGAGTCTTAACCACTGGATCACCAGGAAAGTCCCCACTTTCTTTGATTCACCAGAAAAGGGCAGAGCTGCCTTGCTGATGGGGGCGGGTGTTAGGGCCTCAGCTGGGACACCACCCACTTACCCTCCTCACAGGCAGCACTGGTTGGTCTGAACACAAATGCCCAAATGACAAGCTCATTCCTCTTCTAGGGTGCAGAATTTTTGAACCAGTCATTAAAATGGCCCAGGGCAGCGGGGCAGCCTCACAAAGATTTCCCATCACCTCTATCAGTTGCCTCGACAACCCAGGACCATTCTGTGATCCATTGTCCCCCATGCCCTTCTGCTCTCTGACCCCCACTCATCTACAAGCCCCACCTCCCTCCAGAAAGCTCTCTCAAACACCTGGGGTGTCCTGCCCCCATCCTGTTCTCCCCAGGTCCCTTCTCCAGCACGGAGCACTTACGTCACAGGGACTTTAGTGAACACCTCGACAGGACGGCTGCACAGAGGAGGGACTTGCTGAGGGCCACGCGTCCCCATCAGTGGTCTGCTGCTCTTCACGGTGAGTCCAGAGCCTCCCCCTTGATTTCTGACTATGCTAGAGTCTCAAAGGTTTTGACCTTTGAGGAGGTCACCTTCATCACACAATACACCCCTTTACAATGAGGGTACATCACTGAACTACCGGATCATCTTCCACAATAATAATTTTCAGAATAATTTTCTGCTTCTAACAAGACGCACCTCTCAAAAGAAACTTAAAGAAAATGACTCTATTCTTCCCCTGGGCTTGCCATTTTGTTCTGGAACATGCTGGCGGGGTGTGGTAGCTGAAATCTGAATGAAAGCAGAGAAAGGGGAGGCCCTGCGTCTATGGGTCAGTTGCTCATTTCAACAGGGGCCTTTTCATTCCATTGGTTGGCAAACCCTGTGAGGTTGCAATGCTTACTCCCAGCTCTGAGTGGGATTTACTTCGCTTCAATTGAACTGAAAGAACAAAGGCCAACCCATGTTCAAGGCAGCAATGCCAAACAATCCTAGTAAAGTTCTTTTTTGAAAAAGTTGTTATGCGGTATATACAAGGGACTGAATATAACCCATATGATCAAACGCACCCCAAAGCACAGACATCTTTTAGGGAATGAGAGGAGCCAAAGCAGAAAGGAGAAAGTGGGGCTTAAGCCCCATGTTGGAGATGATGAGAACATTCCTGAATCTCATACACGTTTCAACAAAATACTTGCAGCAAATTTTAAGACTTTTAACCTGTGAGTTCCCAGAAAAATAAGAGGTCTGCTGCTTGACTGCTTTGGGGTAAGTCCAGGACAGGACCTCTGGAAATGTGCATGGAGAAGGCCAGTGGGGCTCCAGGATCCTAGGGATTTGAAATTTGGTCCCTCGCTGCCCATCCCAGACAAAGATGCTCTCTCAGCAATTGCAGGGCTTGATTGGATGTGTAAAGACACCTCTGTAATGATCAGAAGTATTTCTGGGTTGGACTCAAGGGTGTGGAGGCTCAGCCTTGAGAGGCCTATGAACAGGCTGTGTCAATGATTATAAAACATTCCTGAAAACTGTGGGGAGGGGCTCGCTGTGGAAAGCAAATAATGATGAGTGTTTGTATGTCAAAAACAAAACTGTGGGGACCTGAATGGGCAGGAAACCTGAACAACAAGGGATATATGTTTACACATGGCCGATTCGTTTTGCAGTAGAAAATCACACAGCACTGTGAGGCCACCATACTCCAACAAAAATTAATTTAAAAAACTAAATAAAATCAGGAGTGTCTCCTTATTTTGTGTCTTTCTAGACACCGCCTGCTCCAAGTCACATTAGGGGAATCCAGGCACCTGATGGAGAACAGACAAGCAACAACCCCCTAACTCCTGCCCAAGTTAAGTGCTGAGAAGCCTCACCACTCTCTCCCAGGCATGGAGCCAGGGGAGAGCCATGGGGACGGGAGCCGTGACACCTGGATTCAGCCGGTTCCATCGCGTGACCTTGGACCAGGTACATTCTCTATGAGCTTTGGTCTCTTTGTTCATAAAATGTGAGGTTGAAATTTCTTGTCCTGAAAAAACTAGCTTTTAGTACTTTTAACCCCTTGACTTTAGGAAAAATACGTGCCCAGTGTAATAATACACAGCCCATTCAGAGGATGAGAGAAAACAGAAGACCCTGGGGACCACACGGCACCAGAGGTGGGGGGGGCGAGCACCCGCGGAAGCAGAGGTAGAAGAATGGAGCCCGGGGGGGCAGCCAGGGCTGAGGGCCTTGAAAGGAGCAAAGGGACCAGGGCTTGCTCCCCTCCGACAACAGTCATGACACAGCAGAGGGAAAGCACTGGGCCAGGAGCCAAGGGACACGCCTGGCTCTGTCGCGGAACAGGTTTTGTGACTTTGGGTGGGTGACTGAGCCTCCCTGAGTTTCCATTTCCTCATCTGTAAACTGTAGGCAATGGTTCCTACTTCAGAGGGATTTGCTCACGAAAGCTGCAGGCAAGCGCGGAGCGTCTACACAGCAGGTCATTCCCAGCCAGACAGAAAGGAGGCCTTTCCCTACCTCGGTCTTGGTTTTCTTTCCTTCCCAAGGATTTGGGCAGCTAGAGACCCACAGAAGGGCCTGTCTGCACCGAGCTTGTCTCCCGGGGGCCCCGCGTGGTGGTGGAGCCAAGGTTACATAGAGCAGATCCAGGTGAGAACAAATCCCGGGGCACATCGATGGGGCAGCGAGCAGAGGCCAGCGCAGGGTCGGACCCGGGCCCTGTGCCCACAGTTCCTGCTGGAATCCTGCTAATAAACAGGTCAGTCCACCTACGTACAGATTCAAAAGGACTGCAGAAGCCTGCCGAGCTGAGCGGCTGGTGCTGTCAGGCCACCGGCAAGCACTCCAGGGACCAGCAGAGGCTTGAGTGAGGTCCCCAGGGATTGTGTAAGGAGTGGGATGGTACCCTGGCATCACCCTACACCCAGAGCCCCCGCCCACACTGGAGAAACAGGCACTGGTTGGCGGGTGTGCCAAGGTCTGCCGCGTCACCCAGTCCACTGTGGCCACAGACAGTCCCACACTTCCTCAACAGGTTTACCCAGGCCTTGGGATCAGATCTGACCACATCTGAGATGGTGATTTTTCCAGACAAGAGAGAGCTATGAAAGGCCAGGCGGCAGCAGGGCCCAGGGTGATGCCCAGTGGGGAAGGGTGTGGCGATAGCCACCATCTGCCCCAGGTGCCCCTGCAACCACCCAGTGTCCCAAAGGCCCCACTCATCTTCATTTCCTGCCAGTGCTAAATTAGACAAAACCCCTCCACTGCTTATTTATCCAAGCTTTGCTCAAAACATCTTTTTTCTCCTGTTTTAAAAGATAATTGGGTAAAATTATAATCACAAAACTGTTCCCGGCCTTAACAGTATATAAAGAGGTAATTGGTATGACAAAATTAGCAGAAAGGAGAGGATACAGAATGAGACAGAAGGGAGGCTTCCCTGGTGGTCCAGTGGCTAAGACTCCACGATCCCAAAGCAGGGGGCACGGGTTCCATCCCTGATCAGGGAACTAGACCCCACATGCTGCAACTAAGACCCAGCACACCCAATTAAATGAGTAAGTATACATATATTTTGAAAAGAATTACACAGAAGCAAAGTTGTGTTTTTTTTTCCTTCTGTCATGCCGCATGGCATGCAGGATCTGAGTTCCCTGACGAGGGATCAAATCCACGCCCCTTGAAGTGTGTCATCCTAACTGCTAGACTGCCAGAGAAGTCCCAAAGTTATAATATGTTACCTAAATAACGCTGGGATTAATCCAAACTTAACTGTTACAAATTAATATGTTAATTGCAATCTTCAGGGCAACACTAAGAAAGTAACTAAAAAAGAAACATGAAAAGGGGATTAAAGAAAATAACTAAAAAAGAAACATGAAAAGGGGATTAAAATGGTACACCAAAAAGTATTTATTTAATATAAAAGAAGTCAACATTGGAGGAACAGAGATGCAAAAAGGCATAAGACATACAGAAAATACACATCAAAGTGACAGATGTAAAGCATATATTACCAGCAATTACATTAAATGTCAATGGATTAAACACTCCAGTAAAACCGATTTGGGCAGAAGAAAAGAATTTCTGATGATCTAACCATATGCTGTCTGTGATGGTTAATTTTGTATGTAACTTGATTGGACTAAGGCACGCCCTGAAACCTGGTAAAATATTTCTGGGTCTGTCTGTACAGAGGTCTGCAGAAGAGATCAGCATTAGGATATGCAGACTGAGAGAAGGCTGAGCACTGAAGAACTGATGTTTTCCAACTGTGGGCCTGGAGGAGACTCTTGAGAGTCCCTCAGACAGCAAGGAGATCAAACCAGTCAATCCTAAAGAAAATCAGTCCTGACTATCCACTGGAAGGACTGATGCTGAAGCTGAAGCTCTAATACTTTGGCCACTTGATGTGAAGAGCAGACTCACTGGAAAAGTTCCTGATGCTGGGGGAGATTGAGGGCAGGAGGCGAAGGGGACGACAGAAGTTGAGATGGTTGGATGGCATCACTGACTCAATTGATATGAATTTGAGCAAATTCCGGGAGATAGGGGAGGACTGGGAAGCCTGGCGTGTTGCGTCAGTTCATGAGGTTGCAAAGAGTTGGACATGACTTAGAGATTGAATAACAACAGCAGGGTAGACTGAATAAACAGCTTCACATGTGTGAGTAAACACCATCCAATCTGCTAAAGTCTTGAACAGAACAAAAAGGTAGAAGAAGGGACTTTGCTGTCTCTGTTTGAGTCAAGATATTCATCTTCTCCTGCACTCAGACACTGCTGCTCCTGGTTCCTGGGACTTCAGACTCACACTAGTACTTCCACCCCCGCTCCCCACAACCTCCTGATTACAGGGTCTTTGGATTTGGACTTAACATCACCAACTCCCCAGATTCTCTGAGTTTTGGATCTGGACTGAACTGAATCTCTTGCTTTCCTGGTTCCCCAGCTTAGACTGCAGACTGTGAAACTTCTTGGTCTCCAAAATCACGTAAGCCAATTCCTGCAACAAATCTCTTCATATGTCTAGATCTATATTTATATCTATGTTTTACTGGTTCTGTTTGTCTGGAGATACTCTATCCATAAGAGATTCATTTTCTCTTCAAGGACACATAGATTGAAAATAAAAGAATGGAAAAGGTTATGCAAATAGTATCCAAAAGAGAACTGGTAGGGCTACCCTAGTGTCAGACAGAGTGGACTTTAAGACAAGTTACTAGACCAAGAACATTTATCATGATCACAGGACCAACCCATCTAACAACAGAGCCTCCAAATACATGTCACAAAAACCAACAGAATTAAAGGGAGAAATAGAAATTCAACAAAAACAGTGGCAGATTTCAGTGCTCACTTTCAGTAATGAACAGAATAATTAGAAGATGAATAAGGAAATAGAAGACTGACTGATACTAGAAACCAACAAGACCTGACAGATACTATAGAACACCCCACCCAACAGCCGCAGAATACATTCTTCTTAAATGCATGTGAATATTTTCTGAGAAAGATCATATCTTAGGTCATGAAACAAGTCTCAACACATTCAAAAGGATTAAAATCACAACAGATGAAATTAGAAATCAGCTGTAAGAGAATAAGGAAATTCTATATATGTGGAAATTAAACAAAATACTCAAGTAACCAATTAATCAAAGAAGAAATTATAAAGGAAACTAGAAAATAGTTTGAGATAAATGAAAACAAAAACACAACATGCCAAAATGTATGGGATGCCGCTAAGGCAATGCTTAGAGGGAAATTTGTATTTGTAAAATGGTTATATTTAAAATAAATGAGGTGTCAAATCAAAAGCCTAACCTTTCACCATAAGAAATTTTGAAAACAGCAAACTAAACTTAAATCAAGCAGAATAAAGGAAATAATAAAGATCAGAGAGGAAATAAATAAAGAAGAGAAAACTGAGGAAGTTGTTTCTTTGAAAACATAAACAAAGTTGATAAACGTTTAGTTAGACTGAATTATAAGAAGACTCAAATTACTAACATCAGGAATGAAAGAGAAGACATGACTACCTACTTTACATATTTAAAGAATAAAAAGAACTATGAGAATTTATATCAACAAATTAATATTAAATTAAATTAATTATTAAATTAATTATTAAATTAAATTAATTTGTTGATATACAGAGAACACTATGAAAAACTATATATCAACAAATTAAATAACTTAGATGAAAGGACAAATTCCTAGAAAGACACAAACTATTGAAACTGACTCAAAAGAAATAGGAAATCTGAATAGCTCTATAATGAAAAGGCAGAATTAGTTTTAAAACACCACCCTAAAATTCCTAACATGAGAAGTCCATAACTAGATGACTTCACTTGTGAATCTCCCCATTGTTAAAAAAATTAACACCAATACTTCACAAACTCTTCCAAAACATAGGAGAGATTGCTAGTGGCTGGGAGGAAGGAGGAGTTGGGATTATAGAAATGTTCTGAAATTAGATGGTGAAGCATGGTTGCAACACTGTATATCCTGAAGACCACGTATGCTTTGAAAGGGTTAATTTTCAGCCATATGAATCATATCTCAATTCTTAAAAAGTTAAAAAAAAAAGTAATGGTCTTATTAAAGTTAGGGACACTATTAAATTTAGTTGATTAAAAGAATTAGTTAACCACAGCATGTAGTCTGTTTGTCCAGAGCAGACCTTCGCTCCTCAAGACGCAGAACAAATGCCAGCTCATCTCACAATGAGTAACCCTGTGTCGTATGAGAAGCCCTGTTTTAGACTGACAGTGCAGAATCTGTTTAAAAATAAGTTAGAGGTAACAACTAAAGTAACTTGATATTGAAAGAACAAAATAGCCTATCAAATGAGAAAAGATGTGCTTTTATTTTCAAGCTAAAAAATCTCTGAAGATCTTTTGAATAAAAAAGAAAAAAAAGACCTGACTATGAGAAGGAAATGGCAACCCACTCCAGTATTCTTGCCTGGAGAATCCCATGGACAAAGGAGCCTGGTGGGCTATAGTCCATGGAGTCACAAAGAGTCAGACATGACTGAGTGACTAACACACACACACATTATGAAGTGACTGTTACCCAGCTAAATAAAGTATTTTCTTTTTCTTGTCCCTCAACTCAAAATACATTTCAGGTGCATTACAGAATCGAAAAAAAAAATGAGTAATAAGACTAGATGAAAGGACAGGCATTCATCCAGTTCATCTCTGGATGGGAAAAGTCATCAGCATACACCCCAATCCAAAAAATAAAAGATAAAAAAGAATCAAAAAGGAAAAGACTGATAAATTTAATTATATTTAAAAGTAATTGAAGTATTTGTACATTAACCACATCATAAACACAATTAAAAGGCAAAGTAAAAGGGTGGTTTAATATTTGCTAGGAATTTGACAAGAAATAATATACTTATATAATTAATTCAAATAAGTCAGTTAAAAAAAAACTACTTCAATTTCCCAATGGTGAAATTAGCAAAAGTTATAGATGTAAAAATAAAAACCCATGACAAAATAGGATAGAAAAGATATGTGTTTAATCTGAAAATGTTGGAACTTCTTAGGAATAAAAATGCAAATAAAACTGACAGTGAAAGGCCATTTAACAGGATAGAAAAGATATGTGTTT